GGACTCATTCAATGTCAGCTTAAAAAGTGATTATAAGGGTAACTGATGTGGAACATCTTAGTTATTGCATATATAAGGGATAGTTTATTTAGTTTGTTACAAGTTTTCTAGAAGGTTTTATGGTTAGCTTACAAATATAACTATTGTAGTAGGATGAGGCATTAATGAATTATATACTCTTTGAAGCTTAGAGCTTGTGTTTGTTCCCTGGATTGAGAATTCCTTCTAGCATATCCGAATTTTCCGCCAATCCACTACATTAATTTGTATCAGAGTCATGAACAAGATAGACTGCAAAAAAAGATGGGCTATCAACGACAATCAAAACCGAAGAAAATGGGTTGTCGATGACGATCATAGCCATCAATCCTTTTGGGTAGCTCAAGTGATCGTATCACTTGATCGAATGGATAAATTATGTACTAAATTTATTCATTCGGTGGAGAAAAGAAGCAGGTCAACATACCAGTTCCGTCACTCCAATGCTCCTCCAATGTGCCCGTGCAACTGACCCCGCTCCCCTACGATCCTTCTGTCGATGTCGACTTCGTCGAGGGAGAGTGATTCGTCGGATCTCCTCTGCCTCCTGCATGCATGAACTGACCCCAATCCCAGATCTGCTCGACTCGAGCACGCTCGACCCTGCTTCTACCTTCAGATTCTTCTGCGTCTTCACCTTCGCTCCTATGCTCCTCCAATACGCCAGCGCAACCTGCCTTGCTCCAGTGCGATTCCAACCTCAAGTTTACCAAGCAATCCCACCCCAAAAGTCCTTCTAAACCTCCATCTTTTTCTACTTCCACAGAAGTCACTGATTCCAACCACCGCTCACATCACGACCGGAATCAGAATCGGGATCATGATCACGATTTCGTTCCCACCCCACTCTGCTCCGCCTCCCGTGCGCACCACTAAACTTGTCGGCCCACTTCCAACACTCACACAACCTCCTCCACCCCTGTAATAAGGCCAACTCCACTCTCACATCCATTTGAACTGCACTCCAGCTCCCGCTCCTGCCATCTAGAGCCCGTCGAGCATGTATTTGATCCACAAAGCAAAATCAAACATGATTTGATTGTTCCGGCTGAGAAAGACGGACACGACGATTGTGATATAGAAATCGACAAAGTAACTACTGTTGTTATTGTTGATTCGGCCTCTTCTCGACTTGTTGGCCAACTTCTACCATGCGACCTGACAAGCGCCCACATGCAATCGGCATCCCGCACTTCGCTTCCACTTCTGCCCACTCCTGCAATCAACCCACATCCCGTCACTTGCGGTTCACGTGACCGACCCGCGACCTTATCAGCGCTCCATGCAACCGGATCACACCCTCCCGTGCATTGACTCGCACCCATGACCTTCCCGTGATAGACACCTCTCGTGCGACCACTCATCCACGATCCGTCCCCAAATTGTGTGGCCAAGCATCCACGACACTCACTCGCGATCCATCACCGACTTGCGCCGGCCTCCCAATACCTCACTAGCAACCCCATTGGCAACTATTTGCTATGTTCTCCCACCGATTGGCACACCGTCCCTTTCCACCTTGCCGATTGTTCCATCGGCTGCAGTCGTTCTGCCCTTGGCAACAATAATGACCTGCTTACTGTTTACTTGTTGTTTTTCACATCTAGGAAAATTGCATAAATTTAACCACCTTATTTTGAATCTAGCAGAAATTATTCAATTTATCGTAATCTTGGCAGAAACTGTCCGACACATTTTTCTCTTTAACCGTTTCTACTGATAGATATGGAAATCATACTGTTTATAACCTCCGAGTAGATGAGAATTTTATTGTTGGATTGAATGAGTTGCATTCCCTGCAAGAACTAGATATTTTATCCAAATTTTTTATTAGGGAGATCCCTAGTGGCCTCTTCACATGGGGAAAACTCTCGGTTCTTATGTTTAATGATAACACATTTCCTGGAAATGTCCCTTCTGGTTTTACTAATGTGGCATCACTCTTCAAGTTTAACATGACATTCAATGATCCATCTAGTCCTTTGGCATTTAATTCCGGTAAGATGAGTTGTGATAGGCTTTGTCGAAACCCTTTGTTGCATGCTTGCCTTGATTAGGGGTGTCAAAACGGGCTTTAGGTCAGGTTCGGGTTCAACCCGAAACTAGCCCGCACTCAATTGCTTCAAACCGAACCCGACCCGAATACTCAAACAAGTTAAAAATCTGAACCTGAACCCGACCCGACACGAGGACCAGCGCGAGGCGAACATGAGGCGTTCCTTTGTTCGTGAGCACGAACGTGAGTGCCAAGCGAATGCGAGGTGAGCTAGGCCAGCGGGCGAGAGGATACGCGAGCGCATGCAAGCAGGCGAGGGTGCGAGAGAGTTGCGAGCTGTGATTCGATACGAATGAGCAGGATAGCAAGTGTGACGATCAGGCGGTGCGTGTGCAACCAACGCGAGCGGAGAATGGGATGGGGGACATACTGCTAGTGCGACCTGTGAGCAATGGGCGTTCGGTCGAGGTCGATCGCGATTCGCCTGGCAAGCGGAGGCAGAGCTTGATCTGGACCCGGGTCATTTTCGGTCATAAAAATGCTTCCATTAGGAGGAGATCAAGAGGTTCAATAGTTCCATGCATAGATCAAAACTCTTAGCAGGTGGAGGCATTCTAATCTTGTGACTTGGATAGGATATTATGGCAATGATGAAAATATGTTCTCAATAAGCAATTATTTTCGAGGAGGCAACTTGGAAATTTTCTTTAAAAAAAAGATCCAGGACAGCAGCCCTGATCTCTAGCTCGAGTCCCTTCATGAAATTCCCATCCAACACTACTCAGAAAGCTTCCCCAATTGATTAGAAAGATACTCAAACCTCTCCTGATAATCCATCAATGTCCCTTCATAAACAAAGCAAAGAGCTGCTCGTAAAAGTTTTCTTCCCGACTGGTTCGGAAACGTTCAAATAAATTATCTTTGAACTCCCTCCACGATCTAATTAGTTCTCTCATGCCTCTCCATTGAAACCAAGACAAGGCCTTCCCCTCCAAGCATAAAGCCGCCGCCTTGAGTCTCTCTTCCTCCATCAGTCCATTCACTGCAAAGTATCTCTCCACCCTATAGATCCACCCATGAGCATCTTCCCCCTAAAAAATGAGCATCTTCAATTTTATCACTCTCGGATCCTCTCCGCTCCAACTTCCTCTTCCACCTCCGGCTCCTCCCATATAGTGATTGTTGTGATCTCTCCATAGTTCTCTCCCACCTCTCCTTCTTTCATAAATATCATTTTTCTCAAAATCAGCCCTCCTTGTTTCTTCCTCTCAATTTCTCCTCATGCTATATCCTTCACACATTTCCCTCCTCGTTATCGGTTCAAGAAGTGTCATATTTTCCCTATAGCCCAAGATTTCTACCACTCGATCATATCTCATTGTGCCGATATTGAGGTTGCCCCCACTTCCTTGGCCACTAGCCGGTCCCCTCGCCTTTGATGTTGTCGGTTGGGTGTGAAGCTCCAATATTTTCTTCATCATGTCCTCTAGGTTAGAAAATCTTCCTTCCATTGATGAAATCCTTTCCTCAACTTCATATTTGATTTGCCAACTTCTCCTTCTAGTTTCTCTTTTGATAGGACTTGATGATCAAAACAGTAAACTAGAATATAAAAAACGACAACTTACTCCAAATATATTCAGAAATAACACAAAGAGAGTTGCTTTTACTAATTTCCAAGCAAAGCAAGACAAGATACAAGTTGATTCACTGTTCGATAGGTGAATCGTCTCTCCCACAATTCCTAACAACTACTAGGAACCTAAACACCTCACAAAAACTGCTACAGAAATTCAAAATATAACATAAAAAATCCTAACCCACCATAATCTCCCCCCTTAAGCAACTCAAATCCCCTAATAAATGCTCCTTACATCTTTCCTAACGAGTCCCCCCCCCCCTCCCAAAGAGTTTCCTCCTAAAGTCTCTTCTCCTATAGATAATAAAGGAGGTCCTAGGCCCAATCTGAGCACTTGGACTGATGCTGTCAGCTGCATCAGATTATTAATATTTTTTTTATAAAAGAAATGTTTAATAAAATATTTTAGAAAATTTATAATTAGTTAAAATTTATATTTAATAAATGTTTAATTAAAAAATGTTCAAAATACCTTTACAATTAACATCATTAACTCCATTGGAAGTTAGAACAAAAAATGTTTCTGAAAAGAGTTGGGGACTATTTTGATCACTCACAAAGAGTTGAAGAACCATTTTGGTCCTCTTTTTTATATTATTTATGGAGATGTCATAAAGAAAACGGTAAGTGATGATATTTGAAGAAGATATAGTTCTAATAGGTGAGACCTATAGAGAAATAAGAAAAAAAAATTAGAGCAATGGGGATAAACTTTAGAAAAGAAGGGGGAATAGAAAAAATTAGGTATATATAATAAAATTGCTGTGGGTGTGTTTTGCAAATGTTATGTGCTAATAAAATATCATGGAGTGTTAAAAATCAATTTTAAAAAGCTATAATAAGATTAGTAGTATATGGATCTAAATATTGGGAGTTAAAACGGAGTTAATAATAGCTAGATTAAGTTTCGTAAAAATGAGAATGATAAGATGATGTATGGGTAAAACATAGAAGGATTGAAGATGATTATATTAGATAGACTATATAAATATTATCTAATAAAAATGAAGATAGTGAAAGCAAATGTAGGTGTTTTAGGCATTACAATGACAATTAGAAGATGCAGAAAAATATGTAATAAAAATAATGAGGAAAGCTTCGAAATGAAGGGTAAACATAACATGGCTAGAAGTTGTAAGAAAAGATTTGTAGTTACTAAATTAAAATTATGTAGTATTCAATAGGAATTAGGAATGAGGATTAATAAACCATGCCCAAATAATTCGGGTCCTACCAATTACATAGGAAATGACATTCAATTGATAGCAGTTTATCGAACCACTTTTCTTCAAAATGAGAGGGAAGTAGGATATGCTGAACACTTACAAATTGCTTACAAACATCACATTTTGGATGATAGAGTTCCCGGTAGCATGACTTGTGGTAGGGGTGATCTTCATACATAGAAAACTGTTACAAACAAGAGCAAGAGTTGAAATGGAAGTTTATTTAAAGGACTTCTAGTGTTGAATTTTAACACACCTCATAATCTGTTATTGGTCGATCACATGCATAACAACGGAAGCACTCTGGATGCCAAACAGAATCCATACAGCTAAGAAATCTTCCGTTACCAATTTGTTTCTTGCATCCAGCACAAATCCTATACCAAAAAATGTGAATACATGCCAAATAATATGTAAGTATGTGTGTGTGTATATCACATTACAAATATCTTCGAGCATAATAAAAATAAATAAAAATAAAAGAATACCACTTCCTTTCATATGACTGTACCATAGTTCCCGGTTAATGTGACCCTCCTATAATGGTATGTACAGTTCTTAGCATTGTGTTACCCAGTGAAAATAATCATCAATGACGCTTTGATAAGATAAACCAATGCAATACCAAAAAGGCACCACATAGGTGTACAAACAAAACGGTACAAAAGGCACTATTCCCAAAAGAACAAGTACACCCAATATCAGCACTAAAACAAGCCTTAAATATTTCAATTCCAACATAGAGGAGAACCACCTAATATCTTGTAAAACCCCAAGAAACACATGGTGAGATGATAAATGCAAAAAATCTAAGTTATACCAAAAGATTTCTTCCTGGACTCCATTACACAATCACTCAAGTTTTATACCTCTTGAATACAACATCACACAAATTTTCATTCAATTTTTTTATTTCTCACCAGAAATTGGCTACAATTCTTAAGCACACCCTAACTCCTTTTACCTTCTATTTATATGCTTTTAAGGAAGAGAAAATTTTAATTTAATAATAGTTCAATTTTGATACAAATTTTTAAACAATTTCTTATCCAAGAAGATAATTTAAAAATCATATTTATCCAAGATAAAATTGCATTTATCCTAAAAAATCATTTTTTTTATTTTTTGCGCCATAATGAAATAAAATTTAAACAAAAGTTTAACAGTATTAAGATACATATAAGAGATATAAATAGACACATCAAAATTAAATATAAGAATTGAGTTTCTAATGTATTTGTTGCGGTCTTTATGCATTGGCTTAAGATTTTAAGTTCATGAGTGTCTAAGTAATAATGTATTAGGCTCAACTTAGGCCCCTAGTGTCCAACCTCCCTAGCAAGTGGTATCATAGCTCATGCTTTATTTATTAACAAATGTGTCATTCAATTTGCGGCCCTCATGCATCTTGGCTGCTTCCACTATGATCAAGAAAACTAGGTAGTCTGTGCTCACATGAATGATCCACGTGATTAAGTGAATTATGAGTGTATGATACTAATAGGAAATGCTTGTAGGAACCAAGAGTTTCCTTGGATGAATTTGAATTAATCAGAAATAAAATAGTAGAAGAAAAACAGTAAGATACAATGGATCCTCAATTGGAGAGGAGGATCTGGCACTCCCAATCTCTAGCCGCCGGCTAAAGCCCAAAACTCCCTAAGAACAAACTAAATTTAGCAAAACACCTCCTCCCCTAACCCTAGGAAAGCATCATACTTAAAGCATACAATTATAAAGGAAATATTCAAACATCCCCTCCTTTGAATTTTCCCTCCTAAACCATCCGAATTACTGCCCAAAAGATGGCTGTTGGATAGCCTGGACCCATGGTTTGGAGGCGGAAACTGTCTGCCTTGAGGCAGGTGTTGACCTCATTTTATTATTATTATTATTTGTTTTGCCCTCGAGCGCGTTCGATTGCATTCGATTAAATTAGATCCGTTCATTTTCAGCCGCATTGAATTCGATTTGGTTTATGTCGATGCCTTATTCGAGTTTAATTTTGTTGATTTGATCGAGTTAAACTGAGCCTAAATCAATCCAATTTGACCCAAATGAAGTCCAATTCAAGCTTAATTTTGCCCTAATTGGTTCATTGCAATGCTAATTAAAATCCAAATGGCTTTCTAAACAATTTAGACATTTTTCCAAATCAGGAAATGAAATTGGATGGCTGAAATTGAAAATAGAAGCAGGCTTTGTACCTTCCCTTAACTTTTGTTGTATCCTGCTATTAGAGCAGTCATAGGGAAGAGATATTTGATCTCAACCCTTAGATCAAGGGTATGATAGACCTTTTATCGGCCCTGACCTTCTGGTGCCTGTGGGTGTGCGAATCAAAGTGGCGAACGTCCCATTCGAAGGCTTCAGTTCGGCCCCTAAGCTAGAGAGGGAGAGAGCATGGAGTTGGGTTTTTGAGCTTCCGGCTGGCTGCTCCCGTCGCCCCTCTCTGCTCGAAGCCAGAGGATGAAAGTCTCTCCCCTCTCCGCCTCCTCCCTGCTGTGGCCCGAAGCCTCTTAGTCCCTCTCTCTTTGTTTGCGAAAGGAGCCAGGCGAAGGCCCCTCAGATCACTCTCGATCTCTCGTCCTCTGTCTCTGTGGTAGAGTTAGAGGCCGAAACCTCTCCCCTTCCCCCTCCGTCTCTCCCATTCGGAACAAGAAGAGCCGAAGCCCCCTTCGTCTTCCCTTCTTCCTCCATTCGCAGAGAAACTCGAGGCCCACTCCTCTACGCCGACTCCTCCCTTGACTAGCCTGGCTTCGACGACTCTCACCCTAGCCGAGCTCGGCGTCGTGATGGTGACCTACCATAGTCGACCCGAGCGGGTTTTGCTAGCTGTGAGTATGCCTACTTCTCTCCTCCTCATTCCCATATCTTCATGCTAGTCTCACAAGGAAATAAATGAGCAATATTGTCTAAACTCCTTATAAAAAAATCTGGATGAGATTTATGTTGATTTTTGTTTCTTATCTTCTATATGTCTGCATATTTTTGAGATGATTATTACCTAAATCATGAGTAATCTTGTGTAGATTGGTTGAGTGTGCTCAATCAAATTAGTGTATAAAGCATGAATATCCTACTAGTTTGTTTCGTATGGATTGGCAAGGATAGGCATATTAAATGCTTGATAAAATGCCACTAAAAAGGAATGGGGTTGCTTTTATTTGTATCTGAATCTCATAGGATGGTCGTGTTTTTATTGAAAAGGTCATGCTATGTGAATGAATTCTTCTAAGAAGTTACGTGAATGTATTTGGTGTGAGGAGTTGGTATGATCTATCTCGTCATTTATTGCAGTACCGGATATGATTTGTTTAGATAATTTCTACATGGTTTTGGCATTCGAGTGGTGCTCTTGGTTATTCTTCTAAATGATCAAGTTCAGGTTTATATGCATGAGTATGCTTCAATGCTATATGAGTACTTAACAATAATCATTCATACACTTTTATTGACATTTATGTCGTGTTATTGCAAATTGATTCTCCTTTTTTTTTTGAGAAATAGGCGGTATTGGTTCCAAGTCTCTAGTTTTATATTCTTTCTTGCCTAAGCATTGTAGACTAGTTATTTGATGGAATGCCTCAAAGAGATCTTTCTTGTGTTTATGCTTTGTTTCGAGAGAATTTAAATGGTTGATTTTATTTTTCTTTGGTCTCTTTAGTGGTGAATTTGAGAATGCACCAGCAGCCATGGTTTGTTGCTACACTAGGCCATGAAAATTGTGGGAATGTAGCAAATGAAGTGTACTTGGAGTGATTGCTCAATGTATTAGATTTTATTTCTGTATGCATACATGTGATATAAAGATGAGGGATTGGATTGTCATATCTCTTATATTTCATCAAGATGATTTATGTGATTTCATTATTCTCCTTTCCTCTTTGTATATGAGAATTTTGTTTGAGGAGGAATCTGGGCTTCTTTGCAAAATTTTATCTTATGCTTTTGTGGATCTGAAACATTGCTATTTGAGTTATTGGAGGCATATCTAGCTTTGGGGTGCCATGCTTCATGATGGAATATCCCTATGCTTTCCTGGAATTTGAGTTTCATATAGGAAGTGATGTTGGGAAATGTTGAAAATGTACTGATTATATGATAGAGGAGTACCTCTTGGCATATTGAACATATCGTTGCATATAATGCATCAAGGGCATATTTGGTCCCCTTGAATCATGATTGGTTGGAAAGATGAGCTTGTTGGGTGGAAATAAACGGGTCGAAAGCATGTTTAGTTCCAAAGAAATTATGGCGAATGATGAAATACTTTTATTTGTCTTAAATTTTGCTTTCCCTTTCACTTGTTTGAGTTTTATATGAAAAATCATATTAGTGAGTGTGATTGGAAAAGTTTATAAGTGGCTTCATGTTCGAAAGATTTATGACTCACTTTATGTTTAAAAGAGTTTTGGTTTGTTTTAGGTTGGCAAGATTATGCTCATTCTTATGAAAAAAAATAATGTATTTGGAGAGATTCATACATCCTATTGTGTTTTAACATTGGATACAAATGTAATTTTCTTTTGATATTTTGATATCATGAAGCATAAAAGGTGGAAGCATGTTGAAAAGCTCTATGGATTGTTTTATGGTTAGAAAGTTTCATGAGATTATTTTATAGGCGAAGAACTTTATGATTCACCTTATGTTAAAATTTTATGACTCGTATTATGCTCGAGAGTTTTATGAGTTCATTTATTGTTGGAAACCTTACGAAAATCTTTGTGAGTTGTTCTGTGTTGAGAAGTTTTATGTTAAGTCTCATGAATATTTTTGTAACGAAAAGCTTTTGTGAAGTTTTCTTATTCGAAAGTTTTAGCGGTTTTACCCCACACCAAATAAAAAAAACACTTGATTGTCTTTTGTGTCAAAAAGATTTTGGTAGATGATTTATGTGGGGTTTTATGTAGTATTTCATTTAGAGGTTTTCATAAGTCATTTTGGGATTTATAATTTCATGATGAGCTTTATGTAGCAATGTCTCTTTGATGTTTTTTTGAAATGAATGATCATTCTTATTTGAATTGGCCTTCCTTTTATTAGTATTGGCTTCTAAAAGCTGGTTTTTTTTAAGAAATATATTAAAAAAATGAACTTGTTTTGAGTTTTAATTTTTGGGAGCTTGTTCCCTTTCGCCGCTTTTGGGCTTTATTTAGATAATAGTTTGGTCAGTCGTTTCAAATGTGTCAAGTGCTTTATTTGTAATGTGGGGATAGCAAAGGGCATTGAAAATATCTTCTTCCCCATTCGTATCACATGGAATCGGGTAGAAGGTTGCTTTAGATGCACACTTGGCTTCAAAGAAGTATTCCCAACAATAAAAATGTCTACATTCTTTTATTATTTTGTTTTTCATCCTTTCCTTTCTTTTTGGCATTTTATCGTTTCTTTCTCTTTACTTCTCGTCCTTCTACTACTCTCATACCTATTGTTTTATACTTTTATGTACATATCCCTAAATTTATTGATACATGTATGAATATCAAAAGGGTTAGAAAAACACCTCATTTCGTTCCCCATAATACTAGTGACTCTTAAGGACAAAAATTAAAGACCGAGTCTTAGATAACATAGATTTAGGATGCATGTTCTTTATAGGATAGAGACATCAAAACTTAAACTTAGTAACAAGTTTTCCTAAATTTAGTGCCCCTTAATCTATTAATGATCAACCAACAAATCAATCTTAATCCAACCTGGAATGCATTAAAACACTTGATTTATAATTAAACTATAATCAACATATGTAAAATCACTAAAAATACAAACTTAAAACATAAACTTAAATCAAATTTAAACAATCTCTTAATCGACCTCTAACCAACCTAAAATTTAAAAGATGTAGATTGAATTAGGAAAACAAACCTAAACTAAAACTCATCAAGCTAAAAGTCTTCTAAAACTCAAAATTCACTAACTCATTTAAAACTCAATCAAATCTTAAGTTAACCTTTTAAAACCAATCAACAAACCTCTTAATACATAATAACCACTCCAAAGATGAAGTTTATTGGATGGACTACTCCGGGCTGCGGGGCTAAGATTAACTTAACTAAATTAAATACAAACAACTTTAACTACATCATCCTACATAAAACATATCAAAAACTACACAACCTGTTACACACCTAAACTTGTTTGGTTAGGACACGACTTCTAGCTCTAGGTTAGGCCGATATTTTCTTATGATTATTCAATGTTTACTACATGCACATATTTTATAAATATCAATCTAAAATTTTATATTAGTTATATTGTTATTTACCTGCATTTCTTTTCTGAATGACATCTACGCTCATTTGTGTATTTTTCTTTTGTTTTGTCTTGCGAGGTACATTGGGATGACTTACTCGCTTGAAGCTTTTAAGTGGCTGTGCCACAGGTCTTGCATGGTTGAGAATCAGTGAACAATTTGCTTGCTTGGAGCTATTAAGTGGCAGCTCCACAGTCATGTATAATTTCTGCAACCTTAAAGTAAACTCCTAATTATATATCGGAACTGCTACATATCACACACATCTTGCTAATAGCTATTCTAGCATATTTAGGTAATCAACCATAAGTTAGAGCACTAACGAAGTTTTGGCCCTATAGGTCAAAGATTACCCCCCTTCTGTGAGCCCTAGAGACCCTTATGGTCACCTTAGGCCTGTAGTGTAGGCCCGCCCATTTGTGTTATATGCATCGTTGTTTTTCTCCCACTTGAAGTGGCCACCGCTAGGATGTTCCATTTTCTGTCTGTTTTGGGTATGATACCCCCCACCTTCTATGAGCCTTAGAGACCATTAGGGTCATTTAGGCCTGTAGTGTATGCCACCTATTTGTGTCATGGGCATAGTTGTTTTCCCACACAAAGTGGGCCCCGATAGGATGGTTTTCTATAATGATATGATGTGGATACCTTGCTTGGAGGGTATCCTTGGTGTGATTATTTATTTTTCTGTACTCTGGATATCATGCATGCATTTTTTTTATACACTTTACTCCACAATGCACATTGCATTTATACATGCATTACATCAGCATTACTCAAGTTAAAATGTCATCTAATCTTTCAGTAGACATAAGGATATTCTTACTTATACATCTGTTTCATGCATCATATATAACGCTAGGTATATTCTTTTGCATATTACAGAGTCTCTGATTTAAACTTTTTGAACTACAAATCCTTGATTCCTTAAGATAGAGCATTCCTATCTTGTATACATATATGACGATTAGTTGTGCTTAGGATGTTAGCTGACAAGCTCACTCCAGGCAAACATAAGCCCAGGTTGTACACCCCTCAGTGTGTCTCTTCTCATCTTTGATGAATTCTGAGTCTGTCATTTCTCCTAGAATAGTAATCCAATCTTTGATCTTTTAAACTCAAAAAAAAATTTAATCATATCTTTATTCATTCAAAAATGTCTAGTCATCACTAAGGTAAAGGGAAGAGTTCATTTTCGTTGGAATAGAACTTAGGAACTTTCTCTGTGCACCACATTAAGAAGAGAATAATACATTGTCCTTAATCGAGAGTTTTCCTAGGTCTAGGCCTAAGATGTAATTAACTACGGGGGCTTGCGCCCGTAGAAAACCGATCCCCACATCAAATAAACCCCATTCGAGCTTATGTATTGAATGAGAGAAATCTCATGAAATTTTGGGTTATATATATTATTATCCATCGAAGTGTGTAGGTGGAAGCCGCTATCTTCCATGGTTAATTGTATGTATGACTTCATCTGCTCTTCCATTGGCCTGTTTGTGTCGAGTGTAAAGGTCTACGATCATTTTGTCCTACGGAATAGTGTGGTCGTACCCTTTGCATTCGAACCCCACGAGTAGAATCCTTTCGGAGACCCACAGCAGGACCAGATGGACCGGTCTAACAATACCCCCTCCCAAAAACCCACTTTGTTCGCAAGGTGGAAAGAGGACACCCTCGTCATCATAAATGGTGAGAATCTGAAGTGTTCAGTTCTTACATATGTGCCTCGATGTATACCTCTCCTCACATCTGAAACAGAACACCTTCGCCCTCTTCTCCTGTAACTTCATTTATGTGAGCTTCTTGAAGTTGTCCCCAGGTCTTCCTCCTTCAGTATTCTCCTTTGGGGTCTCCCGAAGTGTACTGAGTGTCGGCACCTTGGGTGCCAAAAAGGTGATGGTCATCCTATATGAACCTCCTGAGCTGCTGCCTCTAGTCGCTCTCTCTAGCTGCCTTTGATCCTCCACTAACTGAGCTAGCTCCGTATCCTCTCCCAAATCACGAGGCATCATCACTATAATTGTCACTCGATTATCTATTTTAAGCCCTTTAATAAAGTTTCCCTCCAACACAGTCTCTGCAAGCCGGTCTAGTCGGCCAGGTGCTCAAACTGCTCACAGTATTCCACCATTTTCACCTCCTACTTCAGGGAGAATAACTTATCATAGAAGTCCACTACCTTGTTAGTTCGAAAACATTCCAACAAGAAATCCTTAAACTCCCTCCAGGTCCATATGGGTCGCCTCGTATCCCTCCACTGGTACCATGTTAAAGTTTTCTCCTCCAAGTACATCCTGGTTGCTGCCAGTCTCTCCTCTGTCAACATATTGACAATAAAGTACATTTCCACCCTGTTGATCCACCCATGTGCATCCTCTCTCTCAAAAATAGGCATCTTTAGCTTCCTCACCCTCAGATCTCCTCCATCACCCCTGCTTTCTCCAAAGCTTCTTATTTCCCAAGGGGGTGGCTCCCCCCAATTGTGCCAATCATCCCTTCTTCGCTCGTACCCAACCCTTTCATCGCAAGCTCACATTCTCCCTTCAAATTCAACATCCCTTCGGTCATATTCAGTCCCACTTCTTTCAAATTTGACACCCATTCGATCATAATCAAGCCCTCTCCTTTTAAATTCAGACCCCCCTCCTTTCAAATTCAACACCCTGACCTCCGTTCATGCCCAACCCCCTCCCACCTCTCCACATACTCTCTACCCGACTCCTCCCTAGGAATAAGCTCTTGGGGAAGTATTTTTTCCTGCTCCCTCCAAAATCTTCATCTCCTGGTCTTCCCTTTTACTTAGAATTTCAAAAGTATGTACATCAAAGAATTACTTTACCTAAATTGGGAAAGAAAAAACACTCAAAATTGGGCGAATTTACTTTACCTAAAAAATGAACAAGAATATTTTTTATTACATTTAGAATATTTTACACTGCATTTCATTTTCATCCAACCAAACACCTGCAACAAATATTCTACACTCACTGTACTTCCAACTAAACAACTCCTTAAAATAGAAGAAAATCCATTAACCAATAAAAATAAACATCCAACTGTCATTCCCCGTGAATCAAGAAAGTCCCACATAATTTCATTACTTCGAATTTCAAAAGTATGCTAACTCAGTTTTTGCGAAATATTTTGGCCATTTCTCATAAGTATTTCTGCTCCAAAGGCTCAACCAAAAATTTAGCATATTTTATATCTTGTTTTCCTCGTCAAATACTGAATTTTGTTTCCAAAATAGTACACGCACATTGACTTTCAGCTTTTTATGCTCCAAAATACTTCATGTTAACCCTTGCAACGAATTGCATCTCCAAACAGAATTAGATAATATAATAGCCTTTAATATAGAACTGATACCAGAATTTAAATCTATCCTGTTGATAATGTGAAAGTAATTGGAAGAAGCATAAATCCTCTGATAATAATGTACATCAAAGAATTAGTATTTATTTCTAACTTGGATCACCAATCATACAAGCACACTAAAAATCTTGAAATGCAGCATGTAAAAATTTGCTCCCCAAACAATACCTGGACCTTGTTGGGAAAAAAAATGGTGGATTATAAATGCGTCCGTTATGCCGAGGGGGGGAATCTTTGTTTTGCTGAGCTGAGTTGATATCCAAGCTTTCTTGCAAAGCCCTTGCAAGTTGTTCATCATCCTCCACATTAGGTTCGTTTTCTTAAAATAGTCAGTGATCAACCAATAAGTATCATTACAACATGGTCAAGGAAGTAAGTTTGGATAAAAAATCAAAATATAATGTGAAATTCATTGTGGAAAAAAATTATAAAATTGACCAAAAAAATCTAATTCATGGGAGTGCTATTTGCTGTAAATTTGCATGTGCTGAAATTGAGATTTGATTGTTCTTTTAACTAAAGTGACCAACTTACTAGCATTGATAGCACCAAAAAATTGAATATATTAATGTATGAAAAACAAAACTAGCACCTTCTACCTAGATATGATGTAGAAATAATAAAATAAATAGAGGAAAGAATACTATGATTTACCTGATTCAGTTAAGAAAGAACCACACCACCAGACAAGGGAGCATAGATAATTCCATTCTTAGAAAAAATGGAGTAAAAAAGGAGAAGAGTGTCAAATTGGCCAAATTTTCTTCTCAAAAAAACAAACAAGAAGATAAAGATCTCACAAATATCTTAGAGTAATCTTTCTCAAATAGAGCCAAAAAGAGAGATGAATTCCTCAGATCAAATCTCTGAGAACACAAAGAAAAAGATTTTTCTCAAAAAATCCACCTTGCAATCTCCTTATTCCTATTTTTAGCCCTGCCCTTAGAGTCAAAACCAAATCCATAGAAAAATCCCTTACCTAGAAGCTTGCATATAGCTTTGTTGCGCACACTGCCAAGAAGCCACCCAATTTCCTATAGGTATGAGAGATAAGCTCAAGGCATAGAATTACAAAATGGCATTTCTTATTTTATACAAGTACCACTAGTCCTCATCTTATCATAAAAAATAACGGATAACCAAATCTGCTTAAATCACCAAACCCTCCTAATGCAGGACTACAATACTTTTGAATGTATGTGATAAGAACTTGCACGATTTTGATAAGAACAATTATGATTAAGACTATTAGCAATCAAAATGATAAAAGAAAACATAAAGAGGGGTTAGCTACGCTAAGGCCAAATCACATGCCAAACATTTGGATTATCAAAATAACTTAGAATTTCAACAACATGCGAATTAAGTAGTTTTAAACAAAATCCCTAGTCTAACAATAAGATAGCAACATAGAAAGCACACTCAATCCTATGTTTACTAAGCAAAGGCAGAAGGCGAAGCACAGCTCCTTGCGACTTGATCACCACATACAAGATTAGTGGATTAGGAAAGTAAATGAAAAGGGGAAGAAGTTCACCCTTGGGATGGTCCGAAAATGATTTGCCACTGGACGTTGACAAGTTGCTCATCAATGGCCTCCAAAAGCGTGAAGATGATGCGGTCTGCATGCTCTTCAATGGAGCGATCAACTTCCGGGTTGAAATTGAAGGTGGAGTGGAGAATGTTGACGTTGCCTTGTTCGTCGTAAGCGAATCCATAGTCAAGCTCCGGATCGGCCTTTCATCAGCTTTGAAAGAATGTTGTGTATGCGAAGATCAATGTTGCTCCCTTGAAGACTCCACTAGAGAGAAAGAAGTTTCCTCAAAAGTTGAAGTGGAGGAGGGGATGGCTGGCCAATAAAGGAGGCTATGGGAAGACTTTGGTTCAGTTTTTTGTGGAGGGAAATCTAATTCCAAAGACCTCCTTAGTTAATCCCTTTGATTGAGAATAATTAAAGAATAAAAAGAGGTAGGGAGCGGCGGGCAAGAGGGGAGGCTTGGGATTTATTTCCAAAAATCAAGGATGGGATTTTGGAAAGTAGTAAGGAGGTGGGGTTTTAGGAAATTTCGGCCAAGAGAGATATGGGGGCCTTGAATTATTTCCAAGAGGGAGCTTAGTGGGTTTGGAAATAAATCCCAAAGGATTCAATAGGGGGTCGGCGGCTTCAAGGAGTTAGGAGGAGATTGTGGGGAGAGATTTGGGTTTCATATTTGGGATTTAGGGATTAGGAAAGATTTAATTAAATCCAATCTAATTTGAAATTCAAATAGGATTTAATTTAGTAACTTTCTTAAAATAGATTTTCTTAATTAGGAAAGAATTTTCAAGTTCAAATTAGTTTGAAATTTGAAATTAGACCTTCCTAAATTAAGAGGGGTCACTTATAGAAGGTATTCAAGAAAGAATTTGAATTGTGGAGGGAAAATGGGAGAGGTGTGGCCGGCGGCTAGGTTGGGGGCTTGTGGGGATTTCGGTGGGGCAAGGGAGAAGGAAGGGTGGCTTGGTGGAGTGGGTATTTAAGTGATCGGCGGCTTTGGGGTTCGGGAAGACCTTAATCCGACGGTTAGGGGATGAAGGAAAGAGGACAAAGGGATAGTGAAGAGGAACCACGAACCCGGCAATCTCCAAAGTTGGTGGGTGATCCGATTTCTCTCTCAGTCTCTCCTAGGGATTTCTCTCCCAAGCTCTCTCAAGATCTCACAAAGAACTCAAGCAATAGAAAATTTTTATCCTTCCTTCATTAACATGAAAAAAAGAACATAAGGGCTATGTATAGCCTCGTACAAAGGACTCAAGCCCTTTGGGCTTACACACAACCTCCCTTAAGTAAGGGGTAGAAATGGAAAAATAATAAAACAAATACAACATAACATAATAAAAGATAAATACATAATACGACTCAGAAATAAATTGACTCAATCGTGGCTATAGATCGGCAGCCACGTCTCTGATAGATTTTCCAAGCTCTGATGTCCCCATCACCTCCTCCTTACCTAAAACTTTGAAGGATATAGTAGCTATGCAAACCAATCAACTTCAAGCATTAAACTTGAGAGAGATCACCCTGGTAAGCATGATAGCAATATTGTGTTTTGTGTAGGTCAAACTCATCATCTTCATCCTTCTTGGTGATGCAGTGGTCTTGAACATCAATATGCTTAGTTCTTCTATGATACATCTAGCCTCTAGCTAAGAGAATGTCACTATGACTTTCACAAAAAACAATTGATTTGCACAATGCAAACCCAACTCTTCTATCAAATCTTACAACTAAAAACTTTCATTGATAACTTCAAAATGTACCACATATTATGTCTCTATAGCAAACAAAGTAATTACAAGTTGAAGACAAGCCTTCAAATCGATTGCATGCGCATACAACAATAACAACAACAACAATAACAACAACATCAAGTATTTATCGCACTACGTGGGGTCAGCTACATGAATCATTTTTCTCCATTGTTTTATATTAAGAGTCAATTAATTTCTCATTTGAATTTAATAAGAAAGAGTCATTTATAATATTTTCTATCCAAGTTTTTTTAGGTCTACCTCTATCTTTCTTAACATAGGCCAAACTCAATACATCTATTCTCCTAATCGATTCAGTGGAAGACTGACATTTTATGAGTCCAAACCATTTAAGGAGACTCTATAATCTTATTTGCCACTAGAGCTACTCTAACCCTTTCACGTACATACTTGTTTCGCATTCTGTCTCTAAGAGTGAAGCCACTCATCCACCTGAGCATTCTCATCTCTGTAACACTTAACTTTATGCTTGTATTTTAATGACCAACATTCTACACCATAAATTATTGCAGGTCTCACCACCATCTTATGGAATTTTCCTTTTGAGTTTAAGTGGTACCTTTCTATCACACAATAGGCCCAATGCATTCCTCCACTTTAACCATCCCTTTTGAATTCTACTAATAATATCCCCATCTATTTCACCATCACTTTGAACAATAAATCCAAGATATCTAAAGCTTGTATTCTTATTATGACTAGATCGTCCAAAGTTACAATCTCCCTACTAGATCTGTTACTACAAAAATTAAACACTCACATATGTCCAACAAACGTGCTTAACGCTTAAACACGAAATTTTGAGAAGGTTGCACAGGGTTAAAAGCAAACTAAATTAAAACTCATTTTTCAAATTTAACCTCTGCATGTGTGCTAAAAGTGAAAATACACTATCCAAAAATATTGTGCAGGGGTAAAAGCGACTTACTCTCCTATGCTCCAACAAACATGCTTGACGTTCAAACACAGAAGCCTGAGGATGCTGCGAAAGATTACAAGCCAGCTAAAATAAAATTGTATTTTCAAATTAAATGTCGTATGTGCTCCGACCATTGCATCAAACTCTTAAATCCAAAATCTGAGAATATTATGCGTTTAAATATGAATTTAAAATTTCAGTTCCAATCCTCCTCAGAAAAACTAGAGTCGACACAACTTATGATTAATAAACAAATGTAAGACCGTAAAATCCACCAAGAAAAGGAAATTCGGAAGGCAGGCTTTGTCATCATTCACCCCACCTAGCTTTTAAGTAAATGGGGGTAAATTTTAAACCCTAAAAATTTAAAATTACTAGTACTAAACACCAAAAAATTAGTGCCTACCTAACAACTAGCCTTAATACAAAAATGTATTTCCATCACCGGAAGGGCTAATTAACCACAGGGGCTTACACCGATGAGAAACCTGAACTCAAATCTTGAATTCATCGCCAATGTGTGAAATCTCCACGTGTTTGCACTCATCCTATAGGTTATTACATATTAATGCATCGTGTTTTCTTTCATTTACCTTCCATTTTTGACGGTCAAAGCTCTAGGTGCAACTTCTGACAATCATCCTCCACATGCCTTAGCTATTAGTGAAGGGAGCCCTAAGGCTTTCCATCCATCTTTCCTCATTCTTGTACCGTTATTGTTTCAATCGCTTTCATCATGAGCAATCCATTCCTATGGCCATCATATTGGCATCAATAATGTCATGTATCAAAACAAGCTTCAATTATGAAAGAATTCTTTCATTGAGACCTAAAAAAACACTTCATAAAGTCACCATGCAAATCCAAGGAGATATCTAATGCAATGTCTTGCCTCAATCACGCCATTGTAGTTCAACAAGTCTAGCTTTTCCTACACCTTGAAAGAGAAAAACTCTACTATGTTCCAAACTTCTCTTGATTGATGTTTTTTTTTTTTTTTTGGCGTTGGCCGCCTTACAGTTTTTGCTGCCTTCTTCCTCTTCTTTAGGGCACAATACTCTTTCATCATATTAGCCCTCTTTGAAATGAGTCTCTGATGCTTCATGACTTGAATGGTTGGTGCACCTTTGTTGTCATGATTTTTGTCGGAAGATTCATAGGAAGATACTCAAATTATTGTAGTCAAAGAGTTATACATTCAATGTCGACCAAAATAATGGTAAAACTTCACAGGTGTTTTGGAGTGACAAGGAGATCATCCAAGCTAATTCGTCATATGTGAAAAAGAACTAGGAAGATAACATGATTGTAGATATTGGTTAGTATGTCTGAAGTGGAAGCTTAAAAGGGGGAAGTATGGAAGTCCATAGAGTGGGATAAGAAAAAAAGTTGGGATAAAAGAAGAGATCGGACAAAGTGTACACTTTGTTCTTCATGCTACCGAATCATTCTGATGTGTTGCATGGTTTGAGTTACACATGATTTAAGAAAAGAAAATTAATTAAAGCTTAACCATTCATAATTTCATACTTTCCAATCGGTTACAAGAGCTCGTAGAGTTCCTCTTTGCTTAGGCAAAAGAATTACAATAAAAGAAGATAGCCGGACGATTTAATTTAATACAAGGAAAATAATAACATTAAAAACTAGTAACTTGAATCCCACAAGTAATAAAGAGTTGTTCACACCTTGAGACCTTTTCTCTCTTTCCTACGAAGACTAGGTTGAGCGGCGGAAGATCGTCCAAGCTAGTAGTGAGGTTTCCACGAGGAGGGAGGAGCCAAGGAACGTCGCCGTAGAGAAGGATCTTGGAGGTGGAGGTGGCACGGTAGATCGACCTTCGATGATCCACGTGTAGACGGAGAAGTGGTCGTCGATGGAATCTAGTAGTGTCGGTAGAATCCGATCCAAATATTCTTCGACGGTGTCGTCGAAATCAAAGCCGACGTCGAAGAATGGGGATTTAAGGATGTTGACTCTTCCTCGGTTATCGTATTCAAACCCGAAGTTCCATTCGGGTTCCTCCATGCATCCTTGAAGGGAGAATGAAAGGTGGCCGCGCAGAATTCTTCAAATGGGAGAGGGGAGGCCGACGGGTTGGTAAGGGAGAGGGAGGCCGGCGGTAGGTTTAGGGTGAGCAAGGTTGTGAAGTGGTAGAAATCTGAAATTGATTTCAGATTAAGGAATTTGGGAGGGAAAATTTGAGAGTTAATTTTGAAATCCCCAAATTAAGGAGAGGATTAAAACTTTCTCAATGAGGAGGCTTGATGGGGGGCCGGCGGCTTGATTAGGGGAGGGGTTTGAAATTAAAACTGAAATAAATTTCAGTTTTAAGTAAAACCGGAGGGAAATTTTTGAAATTAGGAATTAAATTTCAAAATTGAATTAGGGATTAATCATGCAATCAAGAGGGGCTAATGATGGGGGCGGCGGCATCAAGGAGAGGAGAGGAGAATTAGGGATGAGGTGGCGGATTCCAAATTGGGAGGATGACTAGGAATTTGCTATTTCATGAATATGAAATTGATTTCAAACATTCAAATCTTTCCTAAAATGGCTCCTCCAAATTTGGAAACTTTTGAAATTTGAAAATCAAATTTCAATCGAGAGAGTGAGGGAAGGATGTGGTGGTGGGAGGGTGGATGTGAGGGGAAGCCGGCGGCATCATGGTCGGCCGGTGGGGCTAGGTTGGCCGACGGGTGGGGGAAGCCCAAGGGGGTTCGGCGGCCAATGCTAGGGAAACAGTGTGAGAGCTTCGAATGGGTAAGAGGAGGTAAATAAAAAGAAATTAGGGAACTCACTAAGAGATCTCAAGTTTGAGGAACTCACCAAGAGATCCTCATGCACTCACAAAGAGAACAAAGCAAGAAATTTTTATTTTTTTTTTCATTCATCCAAATCAATCCCTCATACAAGATACAAGAGCCCTTTAAATAGGCTCCACATGACAACAAAATATAAAAGTCTAAGAGAGAGAGAGAGAGAGAGAGAGAGTGCAAGAAAGAGCAAGGGAGTGTAAGAGAGAGAGGGAGAGAGAGAGAGAGCTGAAAGTTGCATTTGCGGTTGGATTTCCCCTTGTTTTAGGCTCTTAAGTAGTACCAAGGAGTTCAAAATAGGAATTTTTTGGTAGGAAATCTACATGATCTTCATATATAGTAATATGTACAAGGGCTGTGCTATATATAGGCATATCACGCCACTAAAAAATCTCCAATAAATTCAAATGATCCAATATACAGTCAAACTTTCTTATTCCATCTATGATAACTAGCTATAACATATGATAATTGATGAGATATCATGGTGCTATTTTAGAATCTCTTCCTTATATTAGGAGAGAACCATCCAACTTGACGCTTCCAACTGATGGCATACAGCAGATACAATACATCAAACCTTCAATCTCTATTCTTTCAATATATCAAAGCTCCTCAGTTGCATTGCCAAGTTAGGTACTTGGGAGTAACATAGGAAAACTCCTACGCTTTGAGCTTAAGTCAAGCAAAATAAATTTTACTGAGTTTATAAATTCAGCAATTTCATGATTGATCTGCATTCTACAGCACAACGCAAAAACAACATAAGAAAAATAAAAGTTAACAAAAAGCCATGACTTTTATATTACTTAAGATCTATACTCTTGGAGTGATTCTGACATGTATATTTTAGTCTAAATGTTGCATGAGAATGAATCTAAGACTGCATAGGGTTGTAAACATATTGAATGATTATAATCCAAATTTATATCGACTGGGGCAGCTAGAGGAATGGCGGGAGGACAGAGGAAACAGAATGATTTAGAAGCTCAGTAGAAAAAATGGCAGTACCATTGCACCAACCAGTGGTTTTTGCCTTCATTTGCTCTTCTTCGGAAAGAGAAAGTGCAATAGCATGATCCATATCTTCACTTTCATGTCTTGACAGGGGCTATTCAAGAATTCATTAAAAAGAATTAGCTTAATAGTTCATAAACATGAGGCAATGGAGAGTAAAGAATGCTGAGTCCATTTGAATACGAAAATAAGTGAAGTACAAAAATTCCAAAATCTGAAAATGACAGACAGAGCAACATATATATCAAGTACTACATAATTAACGCACATTCTATAGTATGTTCAAGTTAGTAGATTTATATGTTAGAGTCTCATATTCTTCAGCAGTGCTAAAAAAACCTCATAAATAAGAAAGAGGCTGTAATGCTGTATTGGTTAAGCATAATGTTTCCACAAACTATGAGTGTGATGATGTTCATAACGGGAGATTGTGATTCTGTATCGGTTAAGCATAATAACTCCACCGACTGAGAGTAACATTTACCCACCAAAAAGATTTACAAGTAATGTAGTTGATGTTATGCGCTGTGGTGAAAAGGAATACACCCCCATCACAAAAAACTCACATGCATTTCTAAAATCACAATATAAAACCTAGTCAAATTACCTTAAAAATGAGATAAATGGCTATTTAGAAATGGAGACATTGATGTTCAATAAATATAAAATTAAGAAATAGAGACTGGACCACTGGTAGAACATATATGCTGTATTTATTCCAGAGATTTACAAGATTTCCATACAAAAGATAGAACCAATCTAGAAGGCAGTTCCTTCACATGTAGCTTAGGTACTATGTACTATCATGCCCAGAAATGTATTGCACATTGACATCAATTATGATCCACATACCTACCTGGAAACAAATATATTCAAACAATAATATACCGTTCATAATACTGACAGAACATGTCCTAATATGCTTTGTATCAATACGTACTTAATTAATTGTGCAAGAAAACATCCCTTTATGCTTCATACCCCATCCTTCTTTACAAAAGAAAATAGCTAAAACATTGAACTGTTGAGTAAGAAAACATCCTAATCAATGAGACTTCAATACCGAATCATTAGCTATTCTAAATATGCTGAGTAAGTTTACTATTGAAACTTCTTCTTGAGTTGGTGCTCTTACTTCAAAAATGCGGACCAATGTCAAGATATAATGCCAAGATTACCACAAAAGATAAAAACATAATTCCATAAATGGTATCAATCATGCATTCCCAGATTATTTCAACAAAAGTTGATGCCATAAACTAAAATGGAATTTTATAGTAAGATATGCAAGGAGAGGAATACGGCAATGAACTACAAATATGATATTTATTGCTGTCCAGAAATATGGCCCCGGCAATCCTTAGGTTTCTCAGCCTAAAAAAAGACAACTAGATCCATCCTGCTCCTTAGAAGCAAGCTAGAGAAGGTAGCTCAAGAACAGCAACAAAGAGTGATTATCTAGCAATCTTAAAATGCAAGACCCTATTATTCAAACAGAAATAAGGGATTTCATAATGTCACATATTTTTACAAAGACACCACAGTATATTTGATTAGATGGAAAGAATACAAATGAACAGAAAATTTTCAGGACTTGCAGAATGAGAGAATGAATAATTTTTTTAGCATTGCAATACCAATTGCGAACTACAGGATTCATTCCAAGCTCCATCACCACCAGGTTTCCCATGGTATTGCCCTTCTGAAACCTCATAGCTTGAACCTTTAAAAAACTTGCGCAGCCAACCCATTCTACGAGAGGCTATTTTCACGAATTGAAAGTATGTCTGTAAGATGGGAACAAAACATGTAAAACATGAAAACAGACATCAGTAAGGACTTAATCAGACAATAAATGCTATATCAAAGTTCAAAATCAAGTTCGCTAGTTTTGTGCATTAGACTACCCCAAACCAGCATTGGTAAGAGCTCCATGTATTAGGCATGGCCTGCTTTACTTGGAGATCAGATTGTACATAAAACATCAGAATTAACTTTCATGATACACAAATCTTAGGAAAAAAGGTAAAAAATTATGGAGATCTTTCCATCTAGATTTCATATGGTCTAAAAGTTATCCTAAAGAAGATATTCAAACGAAATATAAACTAAATACTCTGAGAACGGCAATTCATTGGAGTAAAAGAACTAAAGTTCCCTATCACATATTTCTCCAAAAAGAAAGCTGCCATATTGAGAAATTAACTAACGAAATATCCATTTTAAAATATACATTCTTCTTTACTTCTTGACTGTATGCATTCTTTCTAAACAAAACTAGCTACCGGTCTAGAAACACAAAGAATAACCAATTGCATTGATTAAGCATTTCAACAAAACATGCACTAATGACATTGAGAATAAGGGTGTAAAAATCCAAAGACAAATAGATATTCCACTGCTCAAGCTTGATTTACTAGGATTATGATAGTTCAAAAGACAATTTACTTGAGTTACCAAGTAATCAAATGTCTTCCAATTCATCCATCAAATAAGAAACTTAGGAAGGAATTAGAATTTCATTCATAAGGTCATGGAGTGGATATCAAAGTTGGACCTAATATGCCAATGGTCAAATCCATGTTAACCTAAAAGCTTCAGCCCATATATGAGGGTCAACCACTTATTATTTATACAATTTTTTCAGTTATCCAATGTGGGACTAAACTCTATACTTAACAATCTTTCTCTATAGTGAGAGCTCTCCATATCAACCATCAAAAGAAAAGTTTTTTAAATATCAAGCATTATGTACCAAGAGTCAACTCAAGCACGTGGAACCCACGTGAGAATAAACTGCTCTTTGAACATTGTTCGACCATGGTAGAACACCTCCAAGACCTATGAAAGCCACAAATTGCATTAACCACTCAATCTTAATGCAACATATGGTTGTAAAAGACTTGGAATTGATTAGAAACTTAAGTTGACACTAATACACCAAAAATCAATCACATTTGCAATCAAAAAACTTAATTCAATTCGTGATGGTCAACCACTTGATATTTCTACACCAAAATACTTTTCAGACTATCCGAAGTGGAACTAAACCCAACAATCAGGTGTCTTAAAAAGCACCAACGAATATAACAAGAGCTCATTTCTTCAATTGAAAACTATTGAGCACAAGAAATGAAATGGAATTACAGCATACAATGCCAGGATAATGTTTGTTCAAAATCCCCAGGCTTGGACATAGTATGTCTTCCATAAATATGAAGATCAAAGAAGAGAAAATATCAGCAACTAGTAGACAGGACAACAGGCAGCTATAAAGCTAGCAAGGTTCTCAAGCATCAATCAGTAATAAAAAATTAATTTTCAGTCACGAAACATAAAAAAAAAACAATCATCACAGACCTCCTCACAACCATGGTGAGAAAAATCAACAGAGTGAGAAAACATAATCAAACAATAGAAACCTACATCAAGAAGCCTCCTTGTCTCAAATTTCATGCCAACGTTAGTACGTAGCAAGAATTATTGACCGGATTGTCAACAGCCAATAAGAAAAAACGTAATCGCTGAAGAAACAAAACACTGTAAAGTAACTTGTATAGGTACCAAGAAGAAATTCTAGTGAAATATACTTCAGACGAATCCTCAAAACAGATTCTCCAAGTAACAACTAATCAATGAGAAAAGCAGAACACATAAAGAAGGTGTGTATTACCTAAAACCGATATATGAGCACGGAAAAAAATGAGATTTCAATCGAAACCTAGATTAGAGAACACCGCCAATCAAAATCTTCTCATTCCCAAACCTCAATCGTATCTCACCCCGATTCAGACTCCGGAAACAGAACCAAAAAACATTCAGAAAATTTGATTCCGCTGCAGCACAGACTGGATAATCGAACGAAAGATAACTTCAATTCCGATAACCAAAAAGCCACAGATACGCGATGCTTCGCAACTAATCCAATGAGAAAAGGACAAAAGAGGAAGACGACTTACGCTTGCCTTTAAACTCGGCGACTCTTCGTTTCGTCATCAACTTCATGGCGAGACCATGAGAGAATTGGACCTCATACCGAGAAAGGTTGTTGGGTGCGGGGTCGTTTTCAAATGCGTTTTAGCCATGTCAGTCGGGTCCACACCCGTCTCTTGAGGGTTCCTCCCCGTCTGTTTCAGTTCACACAAAGAACAATCCTGAACACTGTGAAGAAGAAGAAGAAAATAGAAGAAGTAGTGGAGTAGAGCAGGAAGAGACAGAACAAAACTACAAATAGTTAAGCTGGGCTTCTATTTATATTAATATTTACTATTTAATTCAAGTAGTATTTTATAAATCTTATAGATTTTCTATGCGTTAAATTCAGTTCAATCTCGTTAAGTTACTTGAATATTTATTCCAAAAATTAAGACTATGTAATTTTTATTCTTTTAATTAGAATAATTAAGTTATAATTAGAGAAAATAATATCTCAATTAATCATTGATTAATTGATAATTTACTTAATTGCTTAAACATAATAATTTTTTACTTTATCATATTAAGCCACAAAGAATGACAATTAGCTTAAATTAATATGTTTATTAATTAATATAAATTACAAAGGATTATTAGGCTTATTTAATTTTTAGAAAACATTAGCCTTAGACGATTTATGGTGTTGGTTATAATCCTTACTAAAAGCCTTGATAAAGGAAAGTGGTAGACTATATCTCCACTAAAATCTTTAGTAGATATGTTAATAAAGAAAGCTTCATTAAGTACATAGTATTGGTCAGGAATCCATTAGAATAATCCTCAGTAAAATGTCTATAAAGAAGTATGATATCATACAACATAAATTAGAAAAATAACTAAATGCCCAATATGATTACTCAAAGGGTCAAATCCACTCTATTTCATCTAAGGAACAATACCTCTTACTACTAGATTAAAGGTCTTACTTTTGCAACTTGAAATATTAGTACTAACTTAAATCAACCACCCTGCAGGTGAAGGAATGGAAGAGAGGAGAAGCGCTGAGAGAAGAGAGAGAAAACTTCTTGAGACTGTTTTTATGGTCGCTCATAGGGTTGCAAATGAACCCAGCTTTAGCCTGTTCGAGTTCATGCTCGTTTGTCAAAACCGTGTTCAAGGTCTGCTTGAAGCTCGTTAAGCTTTTTGGACAGGTGTTCGAGCTCATGCTCGTTTAAAATGACTACGTTCGAGCTCGGCTCGTGTTCAAATTTAAGCTCGTTTAATTTCATGCTTGGCAAGCCTCTTATCGAGTGGCTCGTTTATAACGAGACGACCACAATGTACAAAATATTATTTTATGATTTTAATTAGAATCAACCCGAGCAGCATACCTTCCAGAAAAGGAAAACCCGGCCAACCTGGTAGCTTTAGCTTTCCGTAGTTTTGCAATTTGCTTTCAGATGTCTTTGTTTTTATATAGCAAAAGTACTTCATTCCAGCCGGTGTGCCGGTGTGGGACTAAATGCTCACTATTTTTTTTTTCAGTGTTGATGTCGCAGAGGAGAGAGAAAAGGCGGGCGGGTCTGGCGGGAATTTAAAAACCTTTTTTTTTTTTAGCGAGAATTGAGACTTGAGGTGGGAGTTTAATAAATTTTTTATATTTAATAAAATTTTTAGTAGACGATTTAATAAAAATATTTCTAATTAGTTAGATTAGTACAAATATATAAGTTGAAAATATGTCTAATGAAAATGGTTAAAGTTTAAAAATTAAATTAGTAAATATAAATTATCAAATGAGTATATTTAGAAGTATTTATCTTTAAAATCCTAATTGTGTCTTAATCGAGCTTCTAAGTCAAGCTCTAATTGAACTTGTTCATGAGCTTCTAAGCGAGAATGTTCATGAACATAAATGAACTCAACGACATGCTGTTCAAGCTCATTCAATTAGCTATCGAGTATTTATCAAGAGTGTTCAAACTCGTTTGTTTACCTTATCAAACGAACATGAACGAGCCCTTCTCGAGCTGAGCCACGAGTAACTCGTCGAACGCTCGACTCATTTGCAGCCCTGATCCCTCATTCACAAAAGTCTTCTGATCGTGGTAAGTAATCCAATCCAATTTATATTTTCAATTATTTTGATTCCTCGAAATTCTCTCTCCAAAAAGGCAAAAACTGATTAAAATATATTATCTCTCATATTTAATCATTTTATATTGTGTAACTTTTCGATATGTGATAGATATCATCCTCCTGGATATTTTGACTGGTTGATATTGAATTTTACCGTGTGCTTTTGGTTATATGCTATTTTAGCTGAAATGAATAATATAATATTAATTTTACCCTATGATTTTGGCAAAAAAGATGTCTCAAGTGAAGCCTAATAATTTGTTGGGATAACTTTTTACTATTTTTAAATAACATTTTAACAAAAAATTCGTAGAAAATTTTGAACTAAAAAAATTGTTTTAAAAAATAGCAATAAAATTATCCCAAATAAAAAAAATAATCTAAGACTTCTTTTAGGATTGGTTTCTTACTATTTCTTAAAATAATTTTTAGTAATTAATTTTATATTAAAAAATTATTTTAAAAATTAATAAAAAAAATTGTCCTAACTCTTAAAGTGGTTCTAGCGAGATGGGCTTTAGCAAAATCCAAAAGAGTGCATAGAAGACACTAACTGGATCCATGCTAAAAATGCATTGGAGCTTATTCGATGAATATGAACTAATCCAATAAATCTGATATTTCAATGTGGACTTTGGAGGCATTTCGGTAAAACATTTTAAGAACAATTTGTTTTCAGAATTCAGTATATGAAATAAACGATTTTTAATTATTTATGGTTATTATGTGCACATAATTTATTCCTTTTATCGATTCCAGTTATTTTATAGCTTTGATACTTGCAATCAAATAGCACTAAAGAAGAGAAGGAAGGAGCTCCTCCTCGACAGCCGCCGGACCACCGCCGGGCCACCGCAGGAACCTCGCCGGACCACCGCAGGAACCTCGCCGGACCACCGCCGGACCACCGCAGGAACCTCGCCGGACCACCGCAGAACCTCGCCGGACCACCACCTTAAGGCCCGACGTTCAGCCCCTACGTCCTGCCGAGGACCCGACGTCCTGTTCAAGGCCCGACACTCGATCCCTACGTCCTGCCGAAGACCCGACGTCCTACTCAGGACCCGACGTCCTGTTCAAGGCCCGACACTCGGTCCCTACGTCCTGTCGAAGACCCGACATCCTACTCAGGGCCCGACGTTCAGTCCCTACATCCCGCCAAAGACCCGACGTCTTACTTAAGTAACTGATTGTAATCTAATCACCATTGGAGGTGATTCAGTCCTTTGTAACCAACTCAAAGTATAGTGGAATCATTTTCAACTGGGTTAGGCCTCTTGGTTTTTCCCTTTTAAGAGTTTTCCACGTAAAAAATCTTGTGTTCTCTGTGTGTGTGTGCTAGTTATACGTACAACACTAAGACGCAGAATTAAATCTCTTTCGCCGCGTATTTTCTAGCCCGCAACAAGAGTGAGAAGAAAATACGTCTTAGCAATGCATGAAAGTTCAACACACAAACACATGAAAGGAAAACATCATAATTTTTATGTGGAAAATTCTAAGAAAGATAAAAACCACGAGGTCTTGCCCGGTTGAAATGATTACACTAGAATTTGGATAGATTACAAAAGTTAGTCAGCAGTCCAATACAAAGACATGGAGAACACAATGTATCTTGGGCTCGTTGGAATCGTATCGTCGAGATGCTCGATTTGACTATAAAAACATATCATATTCGGTGATCATTTAATTATCCAATTAATATTTTGAACTCTTCAAATCAGTGGTGGATTTATTATGGAGGCAATGGGGGTATGTGCCCCCACAAATTCAATATATTTATTACTATCTAATTTTTCGAAAAGCAGTTTTTAGGCTTTTTGGTTCTAAAAATACCGCTAGTGCTGCACTGCTGCGGACGACAAAAACTCTGTGACGGGAAACCAAAAGGGTGAAACGCAAAACGTTCAAACGATTTCTCCTTCTTGTTCACGGCGGCTCGCCGGCTTGCGCCAGACAGCGGAAGGGCAAGCGGACGGAAGGGCCTGCATGCTTGGCTGCTGCAGTTCTTTTGAAGATTTGAGGAATCAAGATGTATTTGATTCTAATTAGTATTAAGTTGCTCTCATCTTCAACCGCCAACGAATCCTTCTTCCTTGAATCCTTCTCTTCTGATTTCAGGACGGAAATCTTACAAACTTCAAACAAAGACCCTAAACTTCATTAATGTCTGAAAATTTAAATGCAGGAAAAAAGTTGTTTTATTTTAGTTTGTTTGATTACCTGAAACAGAAGAATCTGGCTGGGCTGGTGATGCAGCCGGCTTCTGAAACAGGACTCGAATTCTGAGAACTGCATTCCATTTCAATCTCTAACTGACCAAATGATATATTCTTCCTGCATGAAGAACTTCTTTCAGCAATTTCATTCGGCTTCATTCCCTTTTGAATTACTTATGTGTGTGCCGCATGTTTGAATCCGTGTCAAACATTTTCAACTTTTGATAAAGAACGATTGCTACGACTAGTAAATTTCATTGCAAACATGTTTGAATTAGAAATGGATCTGATTATAGTAGATAATCAAATTGAGAATTTCGTTGTTTATATGAAATTGAATGATGCATTTATGAGTTTAAAAGGACTTGGAGAATTTGCTCAGAAAATGGTGAAGGCTAGGAAGAATGACATTTATCATTTGATGTTCTTACTTATAACGCTTGTTTTGTTATTACAAATTGTTAAGCAATAGTTGAACGAGTATTTTCTGTAACGAACATTATAAAGAATCGTTTACGCAATTGTATGTGAACTCTTGAATGAATGATTATTTATTTACTTATATTGAAAATGATATATATTTTTTATTATTTTTTTATATTGAAAATGATATATATATTTAATGGTATTGGCAAAAATTTGATTGTACAACAATTTAAA